GTGGACATATTTTGCATGGGGGCGGGGACATGAACTGTTTGAGAGCAGACAGTGGAATGTGGTGGACTGTCTGCCAGATGGTCACCAACAATTCCTCTAACCCTGTATCCACATGCCATTCCTCCTAGCGAGATGGAGTTTATTTTACACAAATGTTTATAATAGCCATTATTTATTATTCATAATAGCCAAAAAGTGAGAAACCCAAATGTACATCAACTAATGAATGAATAAAATGTGGTACAGTCACGTGCAGCATAATGACGTTTCGGTCACCGATGCACCGCATATACGATGGTGGTCCCGTAAGATGAGTACCATATAGCCTAGGTGTGTAGTAGGCTATACCATCTAGATTTGAGTATGCGTACTCTACGATGTTCACACAACAAAAGCACCTAATGACGCATTTCTCAGAACGTATCCCTGTCATTAAGCAATGCATGACTGGACATCCATACAATGAAATATTATTTGGCAATACAAAGGAATGGAGTACTGATTCATGCTGCAACATGGATGAACCTTGAAAACATACTAAGTGAAAGAAGCCACTCACAAAAGACCACATATTATATGACTCTATTTACAAGAAGTGTCCAGAACGGGCAAATCTATAGCAATAGAAAAGTAGATTAATGGAGGGGGAAGGTGAAGGAAATAGGGAGTGATTGCTAAAGGGTACGGGGTTTCTTTTTAGGGTGATGAAAATGTTCTGAGGGGCCGGCCCTGTGGCTTAGCGGTTAAGTGCGCGGGCTACGTTACTGGTAGCCCGGGTTCAGATCGCAGGTGTGCACCGACGCACCGCTTCTCCGGCCACGCTGAGGTGGCGTCCCACATACAGCAACTAGAAGGATGTGCAACTATAACATACAGCTATCTACTGGGGCTTTGGGGCAAAAAAAAAAGGAGAAGGATTGGCAATAGATGTTAGCTCAGAGCCGGTCTTCCTTAGCAACAAGAGGAGGATTGGCATGGACGTTAGCTCAGGGCTGATCTTCCTCACAAAAAAAAAAAAAAAAAGAAAGAAAATGTTCTGAAATTAGATAGTGGTGATGGTAGCACAACTCTGAATACACAAAAAAACCAGTGGATTGTACACTTTAAATGGGTGAATTGTATGGTATGTGAATTATAGCTCAATAAAACTGTTACCAAAGAGTAGGGGCAGATGACATCTATTTCCCCTCCTGTTGAATCTGGCCAGCCTTGTGACTTGCTTTGAACAGCAGAATGTGGGGTAAGTGATGCTGTGCCAGTTCTGGGCCTAGCCATTAAAAACCTGGCAGCTTCTACTTCCACCCTCTTGGAAGCTAGCTGCCATGTAAAGAAACTCAGGCTAGATGAGAGACTATGTGTAGAGAGAGGCCTCATGGAGGCAAACCAAGACCCTAGTCACGTGAGTGAGGCTATCTTGGACATTCTAGCCCCAGCCAAGCTGATAACTAACTTAAGTCACACAAGTGACCCCAGGAGAAATCACATGAAGCCCACTCACAGAATCGTGAGAAATCGTTGTTTTAAGCCACTGAGTTTTGGGTGATATGTTACACAATAGATAACTGAAACACAACCTCTCTGAGCCTCAGATTCCACCTCTGTAACATGGGACTAATGCTTTAGGGTTGTTGAGAAGATTACATGAGCCTAATACCAGGCACTATGCTCAAGAAATACCCATTGCTATAGTTATTATTATTATTAAAAACCACCCCAGGAGACCCTTGACATACTGCAGGGGTGTTCTTTGGGAAGCCTCATTCCCACAAGCATCTGCTGCTTCCAATCACATGGTTTCCAAAAAGCTGGTTTCCTGAGAAAAACAAAGGTTTTTATTACTACAATTTCTGAAAAATGAACTCTGAACCATAAATGGACTACCAAAGAAGGTTCTGCTTAGATTAGCAACCTACCCATCCATTCAACACGCCTTTATTAAGTCCTTATTAATTACCAGACACAATTAAGAATAGCTAAGACTCTCTCTCCTTTGAAAAAGAAAGAGTTTCCAGCTAGGTAGCTGTTAACTGAATGGACTACACACTTGAACTTCAGCTGAGATATGGTATTTGCAGTAGCAAATAAATCTAAAATCATCCAGCTGGGAAAAAAACCCTTAAATTTCCATAGAGAGCCCAGAGACGCACGCACAGAATAGAGGTCCCAAGAATGATTCTTATTGGGGATCCCAGAAGCAATACAGAGAACAGGGAATTAAGTAGGTCCCTAAAGTGTGCATCCCTTAGTGAGGGGATTGAAGGGTCCCATTCACAGAACCTGGACCCCAGGTGAGAGAAGAACTTGACCATCTGGCATCACCTGCTGTCTGGGTGCAGAATGGGTCCAGGCAGTTAACATTCACAAGCAGATGACAGAGAAAGAAATCCTGGAGAAAAGGCAGTTAAACAGCTTTCAGCTGCATTTATGAAATCATGATAAACTGATAACACTGAACTAAAAGACAGAGCCTTTTAATCCTAAGAAGAATTTAGATATTTTTTCCTTAAAAAGGCTGATGTAATACTTAAATTACACCAAAGGTAAGAAAGAGGACCAAATCTTTGAGTATTTTCTGCATGAGGGGACAAAATCCACCGAGCCCAGGAAGCATTTATTCTAGGCAAGCTCTATAAAGTTCTAAATCCATTGAATGCTAGTTACTTACAGTCAGTATAAACGACACAAGCCTGGAAATGCTCTACACCATAGACCACGAGGGCTACGGGTGAAAGACATAACACCAGGCAGGCAATGGGCTGAGTCTATTGGATAACCCAAATGCTGGGCTGACATTTTCATTGACATGTAACACAGTAAAGTGCACACATAAGCGTACAGCTTGAAGAACATTTGTACCTAGATTACGAATATTCCTACTATGCCAGAAAGTTCCCTTGTGCCCTTCTCAATCAATAATCAACCCTGCCCCCTACTCTACAGCCAGGAGTAACCACTATTTTGATCTCCATCACCATAGATTAGTTTGGCCTGTTCTTGAATTTCACATACATGGAATCATACATTATGTGGTCTTTTTGGCCTGTCTTCTTTCATTCATCACAGGGTTACCTTGTTTTGAAGCAGAAAACTCAGAAACTGAGATTTTTTTTCAGGAAATCCTCCTCTGATGTCACAGACCTGGATGCCAACTACTCTGATGACACTGGTTATACTTCCTGCACTCTTCCGAGCATGTTATCAAAACTTACAACAAAACAGAGTCTGGGATTGTAAAAGTTTTCCTTCAAGATAAACTTCTAAATCTTTTTTTTTTGTGTGAGGAGGACTAGCCCTGAGCTAACATCCGATACCAATCCTCCCCTTTTTTTCTTGAGGAAGATTGGCCCTGAGCTAACATCCATGCCCACCTTCCTCCACTTTATATGAGACGCCGCCACAGCATGGCTTAACAAGCAGTGCGTCAGTGTGTGCCCCGGATCTGAACCTGCGAACCCTGGGCTGCCGAAGCGGAGCACGCGCACTTAACCGCTTGCGCCACCGGGCCGGCCCCTCAATCTTTTAAAAGTATTCAAATCTATTCAATCTTAACACAGCCTCTGATCTGACACTATACAAGTGTAATCTTCCCCATATTGACTGCAAAATTCCTCTTAAACATATTTTTCTTCCATGGCATCCACCCAATCTAAAGAATCTTCAAATCTAGGAATAAAATGAACCATCACTTGTTATCACCTTTGATCAATAAAGGGTTAAACCATAGGCAAATCTCTGAGGCAGCCTAAGGCCCTAAACTCAGATGACTATGGGTCAGCTCAGAAGAGACTGGAGAGGGACAACACACAATAAATTGTAGGGACAGATTCTTAAGCCAAACTATCAGGATTCGTATCTGGGGTCTGCCACTTCTAGCTGGGGGGCCTTGGGCAAGTCATTACTCCACTCTGTGCCTCAATTACTGTGCTGTAAAATGGGAATAAGCTCATAGGATTGTTGCGAGGATTAAACGTTAATGTATATAAAGCTCTTAGGAGACCACCTGGCACATAATGAGGACTTGGGAAGAACTGGCTATTTTAAAAAGCTGAAAGTGTTGTTAAGAGAGCAACTATTCTGCAAACCAAAAAGTTCTAAAACAGTCACAATAGTCACCCAAACACCTAGCACAGTGCTTCTCAAGATGTTTCCTTTCTAATTCTTCAGACTGATACTTTTTGTAAAATGCAAGATTACATGCTTAAATGTCACAGGAATGTCAAATTGCTCTAAAAGTTTTTGAATGTTTACTCTCACTTTCTGTACATATCTCATATCTCGTCGTAGCCTGATAGCCATTCATACACTGGCACCTGTCTGCAGAGTAAACTTTGAGTAGCACTGTTCTAGCACACAAGAAGGACTCATGAGCCTGCTGAAAACTCAGCACGCAGGTTAAATAGAATTATGAAAACACTAGTAAAGAAAACCAAGCCCAATAACAGGGGCAAGAGGATGACTTGAGGGTCAACAAGCTGAGACATAAAATGATCCCAACAGGCTAACCCTAAAAAACACAACTGGCTGCCAGAGCAAGAACCCAGCTGGTACTTTCCCCCAGAGTGCTCCAGGAGCTGCCCTCAGAAAACATGTCAGCCAGGAAGTCATCAGCCCCAGAGGGGACAAGAGACATGAGGGAAGTAGGCGGCACTGACTCGGGCCTCCTGAGAAAGAAGTCCTTCTCAGGAGTTAGAAGGCACCCTAAGTAGTCACCAAGCCTTGTGAATGTCAACCACAGCACACAAAGGCCAGAGTTTCTTCTCTGCCAAAGAAAACATGCAAATACGTCCTTTGGTGACGTGGGACTGCACACATGCACGCCCACATACACACACACACACACACCCCGTTCACAGTACCTGTGGTTTTAGGAGGCTCCTGAGGTCCGCCCTGCCAGCCATACTGTGGGTATCCTTGGTAGGGGTACCCCTGAGGAGGTGGGTAGGGTCCCCCAGCAGGTCCTGGAGGGTAGCCCCCAGGCCCCATTGGTTGTTGTGGATATGGTGGGTATGGGGCCGTCGGACCGGGGCCCGAATACGGTGGAGGGTTCCCTTGGTTCATCAGGGACCTGCAGAGTGTACGTAAGAGACAAACAATGAAAATTATTTGCATTTAATCTGTGGAAATTATTAGGAAAAAAATTTCAACCCATGAGATCATTTACAAAATGCCTTAAAGTTGTCTCAGACCTCTTGTAAATCTTTAGCTCTGCCCATTTGGTTTCCTTCTCACCATCACCACAATTGGCAAATATCTTATGGATCTGTTTATTTGCCTTTTGTCTGCCTTCCCCACTAGACTGCAGGCTGTGACAGCAGGGATCAAGTCAGTTTTGGATCATCACCGTGACCCTAGAGCTTAGCTTAGTGCCTTGCACAAGGAAGGCCCTGCAATAAATGTGTTGAATAAAAAAACAGGATATTATTTTGTTTTTTAATTCTCTGAAATTTCCATAAATGTGATTGGATAGCTCTTAAGAAGGCAGAAAGTCTAACAGTACTAATCACGAGTCAAATCAGTGGAGGCTGACCCAGTACTAGAAATCTTCCAGTAGAGTTGGGCCACATTGAGGTCTTCTAATAAGTAGCACTGCTGGGAGCGACTGACCAAAGAGTGTAACCACCACCACCGCCTTGGGCACTGAGGTGATCTAGTTGCTCTCCCCAGACCCCTAGCTCTGAGCAGTTGAGCAGTGTCTCAGTCATCGCTGGACAGAGGGCAGCCCGTCTATAGAGGGCAGAGATGTCTGTAGAGGATGCTGAGCATCTCCTCTGACCATCCAGCCTCCTGGGTCTCTGGAGGGCTCACCAGGAAGCCCTACTTGTGTTTACAGGTTCCTGTTCTTGGTGGTTTGCTACTGTGAGGGAGGCCATTGCTTCCCAGCCCCCAAAGTCTGTTAACCATTCTCTTGGGCTTGACCCTACAGTGCCTGACACAATAACTTCCAGATTAAAAGCATGACTGGGTAATGCAAAATACATACAGACTCTGGATGAACAATGTGGTATCTGTCACCTTGCTGCCTTGTACTGTTACCCATCTCCTCTACTGATATTTAACGTTTTACCTATCTGAGTGTCTTCTAACCCCAACTAAATAGTAAGTTAATAGAGGGAAGAGTCTCATACCCAAAACTTAATAATTTCACTATTAATTCTTTTCCATAACATGCAATCAATAAATTCCTAAGTGACTCTACATGAAGAAAAGAGCCATAAAGTAAAGTTCCCTAGAAAATCCGGGTTAAAATAATAATGTACTTTACTGGTTGCCCACACAACAACCATATCCTGCTTTATAATAGCAGTCAGATTTCCCATTAGGTATCCATCCATTCTTCCTGCAGTTCAAGTGCTTCAGGGGAAGCTCATCCTATACCAGCTCCAAGGTGAGTCCACGCTACTCTAAGCCAATCCAGGTCACCCTCTCCCCCTTTTCATCAAGCTTGATTCAAGGAACCCAGGACTAAGCCAATCACAAAAGGCATCCCTTGGCCACTGGGATTGGTTCTGAAGTGTTTTGTTTGATCAGTTAAAATCTTGGGGCTCTCCTACCACACTCCCAACCTTTCCTTCCCCTTAACACAGGCACACATAGAGTCTAGCAAAGACATGGCCTACGAAATTGCTGACAGCCAATCTGCAGCCCTGAGGAAGCCAGCCTTAAGATAAGTAGGCACTGGGCCTTCCCCGTGGGTTAGCGGTTAAGTGCTAACGCTCCGCTGCTGGCAGCCCGGGTTTGGATCCCGGGCACGCACCGACGCACCGCTTCCCTGGCCATGCTGAGGCCGCATCCCACATACAGCAACTAGAGGGATGTGCAACTATGACATACAACTATCTACTGGGGCTTTGGGGGAAAAAAAAAAGGAGGAGGGTTGGCAATAGATATTAGCTCAGAGCTGGTCTTCCTCAGCAAAAAGAGGAGGATTAGCATGGACGTTAGCTCAGGGCTGATCTTCCTCACCAAAAAAAAAAAAAAAAAACCAAGCTAAGAAAAGAGGAAGTGCTTAGTATGGTGAGGAAGTCAGAGAAAGCTTCTGAGGGGAAGAGATGAACACATCGAAAGTTACGCAGAAACAGAAATTCGATTACTCAACCTTTACACTCTGGTCAAAGGCAACAATCTGTAAGAAAGAGCCCACCGCATCTGAGGAACTAACCAGGTTCATTACAGCCGAAGCCTGCAGTATTGGATGAGGCCAAAAGGTCAGCTCACAAACAGCCTTGCTAAGAGCAGACTTTCAGGATCATTCCAGCTTCCTTTTCCATAGTTATTCTTTCTCTTTTAAAAGGATTCATGTACCGTGGCTTAGCAGTTATGTGCGTGCACTCCGCTACTGGTGGCCCAGGTTCAGATCCCGGGCGTGGACCAACGCACCGCTTGTCTGGCCATGCTGAGGCAGCGTCCCACATACAGCAACTAAAAGGATGTGCAACTATGACATACGGCTATCTGCTGGGGCTTTGGGGAGAAAAAGGGAACAAAAAAAAAAAAAGGAGAAGGATTGGCAATAGATGTTAGCTCAGGGCCGGTCTTCCTCAGCAAAAAGAGGAGGATTGGCATGGATGTTGGCTCAGGGCTGATCTTCCTCACAAAAGAAATAAATAAATAAATAATAAAAATAAATAAAAGGATTCATGTAGGGGCCGGCCCTGTGGCTTAGCAGTTAAGTGCGCGCGCTCCGCTACTGGCGGGCTGGGTTCGGATCCCGGCCGCGCACCGACGCACCATTTGTCAGGCCATGCCATGGCAGGGTCCCACATAAAGTAGAGGAAGATAGGCACAGATGTTAGCCCAAGGCCAGTCTTCCTCAGCAAAAAGAGGAGGATTGGCGTGGATGTTAGCTCAGGGCTGATCTTCCTCACAAAAAATAAAAAATAAAAGGATTCATGTAATTTTATTCATGTTTGCTTGTTGGATACTATTGGCAAACCTAATCATTTGTTTATTCAACAATATTAAGTACCTACTACATGGCAGGCCCGGTACTGGGGATATAAGAGAAAGAACTCTAGCTGGCTTGCTCCTCCTCTTGAGTACTGCTAATAATAAAAATAAAATTATCTTTTCCATTTGTTATTGCATCAGATGGAAAATGCTGGAAGTTCTCCAAACTTCAAGGGTATGGTGAGGACAGTTCGGCTATACAGAGTAGACAAAATCCACTTTGGGCAGTCACCTCAAAGAGTTATGCAAGTTTACTGAAACTGAGGTACAAGTAAAGAGCCTGCATGACCCCACCAATAGCGGAACTTGTGCCACACACACATGTGAATGTGCGGTGAGCTGAGATAAGAAGCAACGGCCTCAAATCCAAATCCCAAAGCCACAAGAACAGGCATTCCAGAACAGAAGGCCTTCACCCAGGAAGAACCTACTCCTAATGTGGACAACTTCACAAGGGAGCCCCAGACAATAGCAACAGCAGGGATTTACTTTTTAAAGATGGTGGTGGTGCTCCCAACAATAGAGCAACGCAGGAGACCTCTGATAGTTGATAGTTATCATAACTTGAACAAGATCTTTGTTTTTATGACTTGCTCATCATTTCTAACACATTTTGCTCTGTTACCATTTCCTAAGTTGCTTTTCTTTTGGGGACAGGCTGGAAGGAGACAACCTGTAGTGTTACTTCATTATTGTCTAAATACTGATTCTGGTGTCAACCTCTCAAATATTATTAGCCATCCCCTACCTCACTCACGATCTTTTGTTTGCCAGAGTTCTATCAGGCCCTGAGCTGTCTACATATAATCAATGAATGGATATATATTAGAGCATGTCTTTTCTATCAACATTTTTGCTTGCAGCTTTAGAATAGCTTCTCTGTGGAATACACAATGACACAGCTCAGAAAGCGGACCCCTGACTGAACAAGGGTATCAAAATGCACATGGAAGGCAAACAAATCATAGTGGATCATCTATCTCTGGAGGCCCTGTCCTAGAGTAATGAAGAGGTTCAGAGACCGTCTTATTTTATTTTTCTTTCTCACAAACAATATTGATATAAAAACTATCCATTGCTTTTATAATAGATACACATGAAACTAAGCATTCTCAACCTGTCCTGATACATTATATTAGGAGTAGTAAAGTCTGAAAAGTCATACCCACATTAATTATCCACAGCAGTTCAACGTTATTTGAAAATATGGCTATAGCCAATGAATCTCGCCTTCTTCCACATTAAACTTGGTGTGTACATTTTCGCATTCTTCCAGCCTTGGAGACTTTGAGGGAATTCAGAGAAGCCCCCTTCATCAGAGAATAACATATCACCTACTAAAATCTTTTTAGTATAGAAAGCTTTCTATAAAGCTTTCTATAAAGAACTTCTGGCTGGATCCACCCGTTGCTCTATAAGATACAAGATCTATAACATTTATTAAACAGCCCTTAAAAAAATCATTGCTACCTGAAAATATTTATCATCAACTAAAATAGCCTACCCTTAGCTGCCCAGGCATTGGTATTCCATTCCTCCCAAATGTTTAGAGGAAACATCCTTTCTTTTTACAGAGGGTCTATCCTTTTTTCTTAAGAATTCTTCAAAAAGACACATTTTTAAGTGAAACCTCAAATAAATAAATAAAAACACCCTATTCTTTGAACCAGCAATTCTACCTGTAGGAATTTATCCTACAGATGTATACTAGTGCCAGTATGCCAAAAAACAATTTTATACCACACAATTTTATACCACACACATGGATACCTACTGTAGTATTGGTTTATAATAGCTATATAACATATATATTATATATATGTATAAAATATATATACGCACACACACACACATATATATGATATATAACATCCCAAAGGCCCATCAGTATGGGAACAGTTAAATAAACCACAGAATTTCCAAACCATGGAACTGCTATTTGACCCTTAAGAAGAATGGGGTAGAATTACATGTGCTGATACAGAAAAGCACCAACACAGTGAAAAAAACAAATTGCAACACAGTGCATTCTACTATCCCATTTGGGTTTAAAAATAAAGTTCCATTTCTGGACCTCAATAGATTACAGTTATATTAATGAATATAATTATTCATTAAACTGTACTTTTTTGTTATATACACTTTTCTACACATATTTAACAATGAAAGTTAAAACTCCTGCTGATCATCTTCGGGTAAAGTCTGCCACATGGCTTTTAGGATTAAATAATCCATTTCTTAACTCATAGAGCAGGAAAGCCATGCTTCTAGATGCTTCCAACAGCCATCCAACTACCACTGAGATCACCTTTTGTTCCAGTCGCCATCTGGAAAAACCAAGCTCAAGAGCAGGATCCAGTTGCAAACAGTTCGATGGGTTCCAGGCCAACCTCACCAAGGTCCCCTTCTCCAGCCTTTATTAGTCATGTTGGTCCTCTGCAGAAACCAGAGGACTGCCTGGATGCAGGACTCCCTTCTGCCTTCAGCTTCTGGAAGGACTCCCCAAGGGTGGAGATAGCTGCCGACAATGCCAGCAAATCCTGATCACAACCTCCTCCCCACACTGCTGGGACACCCAGTCGCCAGGGCACCTCCAGCCTCATCCAACCACTTAGCTCAGGAACTCTGATCAGTGCTCCTCAACGCTGCTATCTGGAAGGCAGTGGGGAAGTGAAGGTTGGCTCCTCCTCAGAAAAAAAGGCTGGGGACCTCTGAATTACATCTAGTCACTGGGACATACAGAACAGCATTGTAACTCTGGAACTTCAAAGTGGCAGCCCTTAAAGTGACAATGAAGAGAAAATGAGGCCCAGCAAGAGAGAGGGTAGAAAGAGAAAGCAGCAGTTCACAGAAGGGAAAGGAAAAGGGAAGAAAGCTGTTAACACAGAAAGTAAGTTGGGGAAGTGAAAGGATAGGTTAGAGCATGGAGAGAGAGAAAACGGACGAAGTCTGCCCCCTGCCAAGTTGAGAGGACACACTAGAAAGGGACAGATCCATCCCTCCCAACAAACCTGACAAGGGCGCTTCCCAGGCCAGGACCCCCACCAGCACAGCCCCTGAAAGGCTGCCTCTGCCTGCCCCTCCCAGACCATTAGATCAGGCTTTGTGGGAAAGTTGAAATCTTGATGGCTTAGAAAGAGGTCTCTAACAGCTTAATGTGCTGGCAATCTAACTAAGCACTCCTGGTTCCTGACAGATACCAAACGGGCCACGGCTTTACGCCACCATTAAAGCGTGCTCTCCTGACCCTCTGAGGGAACAGCAGCTCAGTCAGCACTGTGGGACAGCTCTTAATGGACAAGAGTGAATTTCACTTCACACCAGCAAGTACCACTCACGCCTACCAGGTACGGCACCCTAAGAGACCATACGACCCCAGAGCAGCTCCTTCTCCCCTCCTTTCTTCTCTTCATTTTCATGGGATTTTTAAAGAAACAGGCATTATGGACAACAAAGGTTAGAAAAAAATAGATGCTAGATGATAACTTCAGAGTTTTTTCCTTAGTAATATCCCCAACGAGCTACTACATATATATATGTGGAAGATAACCGGCTCAAAGCCTATGCGGTACTGAGAGTAAAAAAAAAACTGCATCCACTCTGAACAAAAACCTGAGTTTTTCAAGAGCACACTTGTACAGAAAGAACAATATAACACAGCATCAACGAAGTCACACCCCTGGCAAAGGGCCTAGAATTTAATATAGTACACAGGCTCACCACCACTCAGACCTCCTTTTGGCAAACTTCATGTCAAAATACCAGTGGTTTCACAATGACTGCACTTATTTCTTTTTAGTTCCTAGATTCTTCACTCTGCTCTCTTCCTGGTACCACAGAGCCACACGGAGTTTCAGAAGACGGGATTTAAGAGGCCCTCTCCATAGGCCTGCCTACCGCAAACCATCCCTACCACCCGAAAAAATTCACTATTAGTGAGTCATATCTTTGGTTGAAGGCAGTATTTTCCAAGTGGGGTATGTGGCATGATTCGGGGAACACAAACAACTTAATTTTAATAGATATGCCTTTTTATATTTACCTACTACTTATGAAAGGTGATAGTAGTTTTCAATTTAAGGCAATGATATGGTTTCCCTTTTAAATAAATTTTACACTTTAAAAAATGGGTCAATTTAAAGAAAAATGTTAGTTAATTAACAGTACAGATGGCATAAACATAACACAAAAATCAAGCAGGTGGAACACAAATGAAGTGTCAGAAACACCAGGTAAAGCATCCACTTCCAAGCCCCTTCCTTTGGAATGTGATTACCCCTCACTGGAGTTTCTATGCCACCACCAGACATCAAAGATCACCAAGATTTAGTTCAGCAGTCAGCAGAGCCAGGAGGGTGCAGAAACTGGATCGGAGATAAAAGAATCATATTGGCCTCAGAGAGGTGTTGCCGGGGAGGAAACGGTGGGGGAGGGGAAGGAGAGGGGAGGGCAGAGTCTGGGGTCTCAGGGAAGCTGGTGGCAGTAGGAAAGCAGTAAGTATTAGGCTTAATGATAAGGACTCATGAGATAGGCACATTCCTACAAAAGTCCCGCTCTTTGCACATATTCTCCCTAAATGATCCTGCCCGTGGTCCTGATACAGAAAGCTGACTGGTCAAGTACTGAGGGCTGCATTAGAAATTTAATGTGGCAGAAGTCTGGCACCACTTTCCAGATCTTTCTCTCCCAAAATATCTTTGTAGTTCAATTGTTCCCCATCCCTACCTTTCTTTGCACACTGATCACAAGGGTCAGATGGTTTTCAGTTATGATGTAGTTTCTGGGCCATTTCTCTTGGGACTAATGATTCTTTAGCATAAATCATCAGAGGACTAATGATAGAGACCTGTGAATAAGGCCATACTCTCCGGTGAGGGAATTCAGGTAGATGAAACTCTCCTCCCACCATGACTACCAACACTCCCTTAGACGATTTAATTGAAAGGGTTCAGAAAAAAATATAAATCATCCCTTGTTTTTGGCAAAGTCATACCACAGGCTTGCTGCCCACAGAGACTGGATTCAAACCATTTGTCTCCCCTGCTTTAGAAGTGAGGGCCCATCCAATTTCCTAGCCCTGGTTTTGAGGGCTTCATCAGTACTAATATTCCACATATGTCTCCTAAGAACTACGAAAGAAGTCATTCCAAGCCCACCTCCTTTTGAAGAGCCCTTTGTATATAGTGCCCAAAGTGGTGTGAACCTTTTTGGCTAGAGGGTCAACTCATGTCCAAGGTCTTCGCTTCTATACTGCTGTTTTTTAATTGCTGACTCCCATTTTATAGCCAAGCCAATTAGTAGCCTTGGCCAAGCCTGGGGAGCCTGGAGGCCTGGAACACAGCGCTCAGCTCAGCCTGAAAAAAACAGGAAGCCTCTCCTGCAGAGTTTCCTTCATGTGAAACTAAGCCTAGCCAACAAATGTCAGAAGTCTAAGAGACGGATGTAGCTCTGTAGAGTCCCTCTTGAATCTCTATTCGACTGAGTAGCAAGCCTGGCGGACTGACATAGGAGGGGGGACTTTTAAAAGATGGCTGTTTCACTCATTCAATTTAGTGAGCATTATTACCCACTTCTGTCTCTGATGAGCTTAATAACTAACTCCTTTAGGGTTGAAAGGATGTTAGGTCAAATCCCCACAGCCTGCCAGGTTACTGGTTTACTCCAGGCACTCTAAAAGAGCCAGAGAGAGAGAGTGAGGAACAATCTGAACTGATTTACATATGAAATACAAACATGCACTTACCCTCAGGCCTCCAGATCTTGATTACAGGCTTATTGGTAACCAAGCCCAAATA